CCTTCACGATGTTGTGCAACCGTGGCCTGTGAGAACCTTTTCCCTACCCCATCCCCCGCCCCTGGCAGCCACCAGTCTCTATTCTGTTTCGGTGGGTTTACCCATTCTGGATATTTCACGTAAATGAAATTTTACACAACGTAGGACCTTTCATGTCTGTCTTTCTGCGCGCGGCACAAGCTTCTCAAGGTTCCTCCACGTCGTAGCGGGTGCAGAATTTCACCCTCTTTTTCATGGCTGAACCCTATTCCACGTGTGGACGGACCTTCGCAGGATTCAGACTCTGAGCTAGGCAGACAGGGAGGGGGCTGAGGAGCCTCTGCAGGTTCGGGCTGAGCGGGCCAGAAGGATCGGGGGTGTTGCTGAGCTGTATGCAGCGTGGGGCTGTTGGATCTTGAAGTATGGGTGGGGATTTGTCCTCAGTTTCCCTGCCTGTAAAAGGAGGTCCTGTGAGGTTGGTGGGGATGGAGGTGATAAGGAGGAGGGAGGCTGGGCTACTCTTGCCTCTTCTCGGTCTGGGTGGAGGATGGGGCTTCATTTAACTCGCTCTTTCCTCCTCTCTCCTGGGCAGTTCCCTCCCGTAGCTGCCCTCATCCCTGTGGGTACCCCTTTCAGCTTTACTGGGGCATCAACTTCCCCTCTCTCCGAAGTGACCTGCAAATTCTTCTCTCCCCCTCTCCGGGTTGGTAACGTTGTTTGTGGGGAGGTTTCAGTAGCCAGGCGAGGGAGAAGCCCGGGAGAGACTCCCAACTCAGACCCCACCCCCAGCAGCAGCCTTCCATTCTTTATTCTGCCTCCTGGCGATCTCCCCGGGCAGCCCTCTTGTGATCTGGAGAGAAACGAGGTGGGTCAGGGAAAATCTTTCCATCCCTGCCTCCACACTGCTTGGTACGGAGTAGGAGGCAGAGGCCTCGTCTGGTGGGGCCCTTTGGAAATGAGGTGTTGCTGTGCTGGTCTGATGCCCCTGGCGAGGCTGGTAATTACAGACATGACAGCTGGGAACGGGTTTGGGAGAAGCAGGCTTGGAATCGGCCGAGCCCAGGATCTCCTGGTAATCGGGGTGGGGCGGTGAGTGGGGAGAAGCTGGGGGCTGGGGCGGGGCGGCAGGCTTGGGGTCCCCCCTGCCACTGCACACACGGCTGGGCTAAGCGCCCTGGCATTGGAGCCCAGGCCCTGCCTTAGTAGGTGTGGAAGGAGGGATGGGTAGGGAGGGATAGGGGGATCCGAGACCACACCCCACCCCACCCCACCCCACCCCACCCCAGCCCAGGAAAGAGGCAGAGAATGGGGAGAGGGGTTCTGGCTGCCCCAGGTTGTGGTGGAAATTAGGGCGGGGTCATCATCTGGGGTCTGGGGCCAGCGCTGTAGCCAGAGGGGCTGGGTGGGGTCTTCTCACAATGAGGTCATGGGAACAGGAAGTAGGACGACTGGGTGTGCAGCCTCTAAAGGACAAAGAGGGAGGAGGTAACGTTTTATTGAGCATCTTTTACGTCCCCGACTCCATGATACTCTGTATATGTTATTTTGTTGAAAACTCTTAACCAGAAGTAGGCACCATTACTCCATTTTACAGGCACGAAAATTGAGGTTTAGAGAAGGGAAGCAGCTCACCTTGGATAGCATAGCTCCCCAGAGGCTGTGCCTGGCCCACCTGCCTGCATCGCGCTTCCATTTTCCAAAATGCTCCCTCCGCCTCCCCCTGCTTCCTTCCAGTTGAAAAGCATCACCTTTGGTCTTGAACTTGAATAATTCCCCTATCTCCTGAAGGGCGCACGGGGAGTCTCCCGGTCAGCCTGAGTAGAGAGGTCTACCTCGGAGGGTGGGGCTGGGTGGAGTCCCCTGGGGGAATGGGTCTCCTGGGAGGAGGGCCTGATTGTCCCCAGCCTGGGGCAGGGCTAGGGCCTGGGCCGAACCTCTCCGGGGGCTGGCCTCTTCCTCCGGGGGAGGGGGGGAGCGGGTGTTGGGGGTCCGGCCACACCAGCCCATGGGGTCTTGTTTGTGATTGGGAGGGGCCTGGCCTTCATTGTCTGCAGAGTTTTCCAGCAACCCCCCACAACATCCCTGGACCCCCACTTTCACCAGAGAGAGTGCGGTGTTTGTGTGCGAGGCTGGGGAGGGGCCTCTGGCTTCTTAGGGGAGGTGGGGGTTGGAGGAGAACAGGTGCTGAGCCCCAGGTGTGAACGCAGGAACTTAAAAAACAACCAAGTGTGAACAGGGACACTTGTTTTGTCCCTGGCTTTCCTCCAGGAGTGGGGGTGGGAGATGTAGGGGCTGGAGGCTGCTGGGACCCCTTAGAAGAGTAAAAACCTCAGGTGCTGAGAGTGTCACGATGGTAGAGGTCGGTAGGTACGTGGGGCCTTTCAGCTGGTCCGGTCTCCCTCCGGTTCTCCTGCGTGAGAGCTGGGTCACGTGCCAGTTCCGGCCCCGCCCCCCAAAGCACGAGAAGGTTTCCAGGCTGGGGAGACCCAAGCCTGCCGCAGGCACCCTTAGGCCCACCCTGCTGCCCATGTCCCCACCTCCCAGCTCCCTCACCATACGTGAGCCCAAGGTCGCTCCCTCCCCAAGCGGCTGCTTTCCACCTCCTCCTCCTTGGCAGGGGCCGGTGTACAGGCTCAGAAGGTCTCCTGGAGGCAGGGTCACTTGGGGCCTGCCTAGGACAGTAGGCCGTGAAGGGGGAGGCATTTTTGTTTTCCTGGAGGGCGGGGGTGGGAGGGCACGGGGTAGGCAGGAACTGACCCGCGGGCCCACGCAGCCTGCTCGCCCCCCAGGGTCCCCCTTCTCCTGTCCCTGGGGACAACTCGAGGTGCCTGCTTTCCTCCTTGGCTCTCCCGCAGCTCACCTGGTGGGCAGGTAGGGGCCAGCCCTGTGCCCCAGCTGACGGAGGAAGGAGCTCAGAGCCCAGTGGGTGGTAATTGTGGGGCCTGCCCACTGGTGCAAATTAAACAGGACATCCAGGCATCTCGAAGCCGCGGTGACCCTCTCACCAGCCTAGCATCCTGTCTCCCCTCCGGCCCCCATCTGGGACAGATGCCAAAGAGATTACTCACCCCTTCTGCCGCATACCCTCCCCCCTGCCCGGTGTTCCCTTCTCGACTGGCTGCGAATGGGTCTGGGGGTGGCCGGGGACTGAGGAGCTGTGGTGTGGGTGCACGTGTGTGCACTGGGGTACTGTGTGTTGGTGGAGACACTTTGCGAGCGGCGGGGGGCGGGGGGGGGGTGCCAGAGAGAAAGCGAGCAGGTCTCTACAGAACCTGCCTGGCTGGGGCGGGTGGAGCTGGGTGGGGCAGGCGGGAGCCGGTCCAGGTCTCAGAGGGGGATAGGAGTGTGGGTGTCTGTGTGTGAGTGTGTGTCTCAGGGTGTCTGTGGCTATCAGAGGGTACCCGCATCGCCCCCTCTTAGATGGATGCAGTTGAGGAGGTGGAGGAGAAGGGCCTGGCCCTGGCTCCCCCAGCTCCCTTCTAGCTAGAACGCAAGCTCAGGTATCCTGGCTGGGAGCCCGGCGTGGGGGCTCTTCTCGCTCTGGGGTCTGGGGGTGAGCAGCCGCTCTGGAAACATCCTCGCCTGGGTGACCCAAGCACAGCCGTCCCCTGCTTCTTCCCAGCCTAGTGAGGGGAAGGATCCTGCCCCTGCCCCTGCCCCGGGGCTCTCGGGATGGTGAGTTCATGTCTGGGGCTGTCCTGGGAGAGTGCCCGGTAAGCAGGGCGGGGGGCTCCCGGGCTCCCCAATCCGGCCCTTTCCTCTCCCTCGGCCCCTTGAGATCCAGCTGGCTTTGGCCTCACCCAAGGACACTGGGGCCTTTTTCAGGGCACAGGAGTGAGGGCGGGGGCAGATCTCCATCCCATTTTTGGTCTAGGGCCTGGGGCTGGTTCAGGCCTGCTCTGTGTGCCCTAGTTCTCTTTGTGGTGGGGAAGCGCAGCGTGGCCTCTGGGATGGACGGCTTGTCCAGGGCCTAAGGCCGGATGGGAACGATGAGGGAAGGGAGGGAGCGAGCGAGGGAGCGTCAGAGCCTCAGTTGGTGGGGGCGGGGTGCGGCAGAAACCACCCCTTGGAGGGGAAGGGGCTCTGGTCTCCACTGTCTTGGCCCGGGCCTGTCTAGTCGTGCCCTGTCACTGGTGAGAAGAGGCTGGGGCGGGGATCTGTGCCACTTGTCCCCATCCTGGCCTTACAGTCCTGGCTACCCCAAGGACTGGGACTTTCCTAGAGGAACCCCGTCTCTCTCTGAGAGGCAAACGCCTCAAAGCTAAAGCATTAGTAAGTTCTTTTCTCTTTTTTTCTTTTCTCATTTTTCTTTTCCTTCTTTCTTTCTCTCTTTCTCTTTCCTTCCTTCCTTCCTTCCTTCCTTCCTTCCTTCCTTCCTTCCTTCCTTCCTTCTTCCAATTTATTTATTTTGAGAGAGAATGAGGGAGGGAGGCAGGGAGAGAGAATGAGTAGGGGAGGGGCAGAGAGAGAGAGAGAATCCCAAGCAGGCCCTGCGCTGTCAGCACAGAGCCCGACACAGGGCTTGGGGCTCGAAACTGCGAGATCAGTGTGTGCTTTCCTCCTGGAGGGGGAGGGGGAAAGGGAGCTCAGGGATCGTGTGGGCACAGTCAGAGGTTCTGGCACCTTCCGGTCCTCTGCGGGTACCAGGTGAGGTGTCTGCATTTGCTCTCATGGACGCCTCCCGCCCCCACTGGTGACCATCAGGGCCTGGATGGAGACTATCGAGGCAGAAAGGAAAGGCCTCCAGTCTGAAGGATGGTTGTGACTTTGAGTGTCTGCCCCGCCTCCCAGCAGCCTGATGATGACGTGGCAGCCTGCTCTGTCTTTCCAGCTAGTTGTCTAGTTCTTCGGATACTGGGCTGGAGGGGGTGGGGGGGTGGGGGGTGGTGGGACACCTGGTGCCTCCCAGGAGGTGGCCAGCCGCACCTTGAGCCGAACGCACATTCATACCCTTGGACTGTGGTGGGGAAGCCGGGGACCCTGGGCCGGGGGCGCTCACGTGGCCACACCTGTCTGGGTTGATGGGGGAGGTGGAAGGCAGGTGCAGTGAGATCCAGGCTCTCGAGTACGAATCACAGACCATTAATGGGCCAGTGTCTGTAGACATCTTGTCCTACAAGGGTCTGAAGATGAGATGGTGCCCGACCCCTTGCGTCCAGACAGGACCGGCCTTCCCTCGTCCTGGGCTGAGAAGAGGAAGGCCGTGTGTTGAACGAGTGGGCCGGTCACAGCTCTGTCGTGGCAGCCAGAGGCAAGCTCTTGGCATCTTGTCTTCCCATCCACTTCCCCTGCCGCGGGATGATCCAGACCAAGTGCCTTCTGTTGCACAGCTGGCCTGCAGCCCTGTCTTCCAGAGACCCGAGGAAGAACGGGTGGCCTTTCTAGGCACATGTTTGGGTCCTGTCCCCTCCCCACCTTTTCTTTTCTGGCTGAGTCACTGCGGCTCCCAGAGTGCCTTCCTCCGGCCCCACCCTCACCTCTGCCCTGCCGCCTTTCCCCATCCCAGGCCCGAAGGAGCTGGGACTGGGGGGCCGGGTGGCCCTGGTCCAGAAAGCCGGCAAAGGAGGCAGTGATCTTAGCCACCTGCTGGCTGCCCGTCGGTCCTCAGCACCTGCCCACAGAGGCCCGTTCTCTGTCCGGTGCCTCGTCCACCTGGGCTGCTCCTCCGAGTGGGGCAAAGGGAAGGGTCCGGTCTCAGTGTGCATTTTGGTCAACACCAGCCTCCCCCCCCCGTAACTGCCCCCCTGCACCGCAAGGCCTTGTTCCCTTGCCTGTTGCCAGGTTCTGACTGTATTTTTTCCAGAGGCCTCCGATTGTTTCCTGAAGAAACCTGATCCCAGAACTCAGACAAAAGCTGGGGCTGCCAGAGGAGAAACCCCATTCTCTCCCCCTCTGCCCCTAGCCCCCCCCCCCCCCCCCC